TGAATGATTTCAAACACTCTGCCAATGCAGTAAAAACATACCTGAATAGAAAAACACACAAGGGAACACCATCAGTCATGGATCGGCCTCCCCAGAGCCTGAACCTCAACATCATCTTAACAGACAACTGAAGAAAAGGCAGAAACATCCAAAGAAGAGCTCTGATTGTCCTTCAAGAAGCCTGGAGAACTATTCCTGGAGACTACTTAGTAACTGAGTTCAGGTTGTGTGGAAGAACAACGGAGGTCACACCAAATATTGACTTTTCAGTTTGTTAGCCATATATATTTGTGTTCCCTGTTCATGTAGTGACCCTTCAAGGTACCTGAGATATGATTCTTATTTCTCACCTTTGATTATTTATTCTATTCTCTAAAACAAATCGGGTCACACAGTGCTAACGGCATTTCCCGTTTCCTTCATTTATCCGAAACCCCAAAAAACCACAACGCTCCAACCTTATTGTTTGCTCACTCAGATCACTTCCAATGTCCTTTTCATCTCTGTTGTTGTACATGGAAGCAGAGAGTTATTGCTTGATGTAGTGTGATGCAATAACAGTGCTTTATCAGAAGAGGTGACGCGTGTTTTCATGTCTCATGTCTTTCACCTCATTCGGCAGAGGTTATGTTTTTTTGGGGAGCTGGCGTTCTCCATTTGAAGGGGAGAGCGGTTGACCGCAGTTTGGCCGTTGGTGGTGTAGCGTGCAATTGAGCTCTGCTTGGCTAGTGGTCTAAAAGAATAGGGTTTAGTCGTTGTTTTCCTCATGTGGTCTGGGGGTTTTTCCTCTCTCTTTTCTCTCCCCCCCCCCCCCCCCCCCCCTTCGTTCTCCACAATGGAGGCCCAGGCTGCACATGGGCAGAGGAGAGAAGCCTAGAGTTTTGACAGCACCCTATCCTACTGCCTGCACGGGAGACGAGGCAGGAAAAGTTGAGTGTTTACTGTGGTCTTCATCTGAGACGGGGCATATCCTCCCCTACACCGCACCACTGAGGACATCAATCTCTCCAACAACACACTTGACATTTAGATAGTCTTTGGAGGTACTTTATTACATGATGTCTTTTGCATGACCTCATCAGTCAGCGCCTTCCCATGCTTCACAAGACTTTGTTTTATATTCCCAGAAACACTTGCAGCCTTCCCTGTGCCCCCATCTCCACCTTTTCTTCTAGTTCAGATGTGGTTAACCGTAGATCCAGGTCTCAGGAACCGCAGCTCTCTCGGTCCAAGTGATTCATTACATCCGTGGTGTTGCTGAGCTGCTTTTGCGATCATACATCTTATTTAGCTGCTGGAGCCATACTCTAATTAAGATTGGTGCTAATCCTCCAGAGCTCTCTGTTTCATTTGCATAAGGTAGGATGCTGTTCAACTTTTCTCCGCCACGCTTCCCCAGCTGACGTGCGTTTCGCCGCCCTACGCTGTATTCCACAGAAAATGAATGGCAGCGGGCCGCCCACAGCGAAACATTTGCTGTAATGCAAGTGGAGCATAACACCAACTCAGGCGAGGGTGCTTAGCCCCCTACCTCCATTCCACTCCAACCCACCTTCCTCTGCCCCTGCTGTCATAGCTCAATGTAATTTGACGCTGGCGTTTTTTCTGTAAGAGTCCAGTATAAGTCTGTCTGTCTTCGAAGCTTGAAGGCCCAAATCTGAGAAAAGAGCCCATTTTCCCTGGAAAAGGATGAAGACAGCTGTACCCTGCTGCAGATTAGAGGAAACCATGAACTTCAGTGAAAAGACGCCACCCATTATTTACTCACCAGCCTTTTACTGTGAAAGCCAGGCATGTTTCCACAAAGCTGCAGATTTATTGAAAAATAAAGGCACTCCAACACGATTCACCAGTCTGGCATTAGTGGGTATCTTTGCTGCTGTGATCTTTATAGCAACAACAACCAGCAACTCACAAATACAGCTAACCAAATTTCGTGCTGAAGACCAGAGATGGGCAGTAACGCGTTACTGTAATCCGATTACTTTTTTCAAGTAACGAGTAAAGTAAGGGATTACTATTGCAAAAACGGTAATTAGATTACTGTTACTTTCCCGTAAGCACGCTGCGTTACTGCGTTACTAAAACCGTGATTTTTTTTTTTGCGTGTCTCATGACAGTGACGTAAGCAAGTGCGACGTTCGTGACAACAGCTGTGTGCAGATCAACAATGGATAATATATCGAGTGCGGGAGAGAGTATGAGCGTGCAGCGTTTAAAGCGTGGAAGTACTGACCTTTAAGTTTGATTCCATAAAAAGTGACAAAAACATTAGTGTCCGCTGTTCACTGCGTGGGAAGAAAAATTCTTTTTACAGCGAAAAAAACCCTAAACTTCCGAGCAAGCACGGACAGTACACTGCCACGGGAATATGAAACTCCCAGATCCTTCCACTGACCGCTACGACACACCTGCACCAGGGCAAACCTCCGCCTGCCCCACTCCTGCTATACAGGTGAAAATAGAGCAACAGGACCGCTGAGTCCTTGATTTTATTTATTTTCTGCTGTGTTTTACCTGCATTTATTTGAAAGAGTGAGTGTAAACACAAAAACAAATTTTATTTTATGTGCTGGAATATGCAGAAAATAGGTTTAAATGTTAAACAAATTTCTTCCAGTGCATATAATTTTAATTTTTGCTTCATTCGTAAAGTTAAAAGATTAAAACTAATAAAACAAGTTTTAAAAAGAGACTTTTTCATTTGATTACATTTTATATGATGGGTTATGCAGAAAAAAATGAATTGGGCTGAAAGATCGATCGCTTTATTACCTATTCAGGTTGTAAATCATTTTTTTAAAAAGTAACTAAGTAACTAATTACTTTTGAAAATAAGTAATCAGTAAAGTAATGGGATTACTTTTGGGGGAAGTAATCAGTAATTAGTTACTGATTACTTTTTTCAAGTAACTTGACCAACACTGCAGAAGACAACAAGAGTCAAATCAACAGGAACAATATCCATCCATCCATTTCCTTTCACACTTCCAAAGAGGTTATAGTAGCGGCAGGCAGACCGAGGTATTCTGAACGTCCTTCTGCCCAGATGTTTTTTCCCTGTGTCTTCTGAGAGATTCTGAGACACCATCAGCCCAGATGAGATATATGGTCATCAGCCACTTTATTGGTTAAATCTGTTCCACTGCTTATTAACATGAATATCTAATCAACCAATCACATGGAGGCAACTCAGTGCATTTAGTTAGTTAGATATGGTCAGACCAAGCATTAGGATGGTGAAGAAGGTGATTTGGAACGTGTCATGGTTGTTGGTCTGAGTATTTAAGAAACTGCTGATCTGCGATCTCTAGGGTTTACAGAGAATGGGTCTGAAAAAGAGAAAATATATGAGTAAGTAGCAGGTCTTTGTGCAAAACGGCCTTGCTGATGTCAGAGGACAATGGCCAGACTGCTGCAAGCTGATAGGACAAAAAAACAAAACAAAAAACCGACAGTAACTCAAATAACTACTCACTACAACCATGGAATGCAGAAAAGTATATCTGAACGAACTGCACGCGCATCAGGTGGCCTGCAGCAGAAGACCACACTGGGTACCCCTCCTCTGAGCGAAAAACAGGAAACTGAGGCTGCAACCCACATAGGCTCACCAACATTAGACGATAGATTAGAAAAACGTTGGTCTGTCCCAGATTCTGCTCTGACATTCAGATGGAAGGGTTAGAATTTGGTAAAACCAACATGACCCATGTTGGTTTTACCAACCAACCAACTTGGATTCTATCCTGTCTGATATTAACTTATCAGGCCAGTGGTGATTGTGTAATGGTGTGGGGGTATATCTATTTGGAACACTTGTGGTTCTTTACTACCAATTGAGCATTGTTTAAACACCATAGTGTGCCTTTCTTCCGATGGCTACTTCCAGCGGGATAATGCACCATGTCCATGACAGTGAGTTCACTGTACTCTAATAGCCTCCACAGTCACCAGATTTCCATCCAAAAGAGCTTCTTTGGGATGCTGTGGAATGAGAGAATGACATCATGGATCTACAGCTGACAAATCTGCAGCAACTGTGTGATGAATCTATGCCATGAAGAATTAAGGCAGTTCTTAAGGTAAAAGGGAGTCCAACCCAGTGCTAGCAAGGTTTATCTAATAGTCTCTCCAGTGAATTCTGGGACTACCAGGGGCATGTCTAGAGAACTTTCCAGGGAGGCATTCTGATCAGTCCAGACAGCTTGCAGCCAGCAGTAACCCATTTCGACCTTGTTTACTTGTGTTCATGAGTCTGGATAAATGACCAAGTGAAGGCTGGAATGTAGACAACTGATAAATCAAGAGCTTAACCTTTAGGCTCTCTTTAACACAACATCTGCATGCAGTTTCATGCTCCACCCTCCCGTCACTCAAGACAAGATGATGGTGCAAGTTGAGGGAGTTTGATAACTACTGCAAACATACACAGCTGCAGCAAACACAGAACCATATCTCATCCAAATATTGGATCATTGCATGCCTTAATAGGAATAAGAAAACTCGGGGCATTATATTTGCAAAGGTCAAGGCTGTGTGTGCCATTATGCTTTTGCATTTAGCACTACAGAGAAAGAAACCTTTGGAAGGTCAATTCATTCTAATGTTATGTAAGGGCTAAGGGTGGCTCAAAATCCGATGCTATTTTTAGGCGCCTGCTCTAAAGCCCCATCTTTGCTGTTAATTAAGAGGTAGTGGATTTTGTTTTTGGGTTTTAGGCCAAGAACAGTTCACGTGTCAAACTGAATCAATCCGTAGCACAACTAATTAGAAATGATTAGAGCCCTGTGTTTTTTTACCTCCTACACAATAATGAGACAGTTATACAGGTTTTGGCAATTAATTCTCACAGCACTTGCGAACACAGTGTCAGTTCCAATACTCTGGAAACAAAGTGAGTCAAACTGGGTCAAACAAGGTGCCTCACTCTGAGATCGCTCTGCATTTTGTTGGTGTCCATTTTAATCTTTGTTGTCCACGTGAATTCATGTCTGCAGGGTGTGGGACCTGGATGGGAATGAAAGCGCTACTTTCCGGCTTCAGTCTCCTGGCATCAGTGTGTGCTGGCACCCAAAGGAAGTCTTTAAGGTAGGAGTTGCCTACTCTAAAGCTGAGGTAAAACACCTGAGTAGTATAGATGGTTTACAGTTGGAGGGTCAGGTGTGAGGTCAACTTTATGGATGCCCTCACTCCTCCGAGACATCCTCATTGTTATCAGAAACACTTGAAGTTCACGTGGGTGGTTAGATAAAAGATTCTGCCCAACATTCAAATATAGATTTTGCTGTGAAATATCTTGATGTGGAGCCCAAAGCACACATGTGGGTAAAGGCCTGCTGAAGTGTACAGAGGAGGGTGAGAAACAAAAAAATATAGTTTTTAAATCCTTTCATAATGTTGCAGAGTCCAACAGAGTTTAATCATGCTTAATTTCTACTTTCTATACTGTTGCATGCTGGGACATGCTCTAATCTGTAGTTTAACTGATATATTGCACATGATATACATAAATCAGTATATATTTCACTGAAGCTCCACATCTCTAAACCACTGTCTCTGTAAATATGGTTTCTACTGCATAAAGTTAATAGGGTCAACAATAAAAATACAATAAATTATACACTAAAAACCATAAATCTGAATTAGAAAGAAGAACTCTCACATAATAATAGAAGTCAGCTTTGTTTGCACAAAAACAAACGCCAGGATGTCCTGCTCAAGTAGATCTGAAAGCAAGTGAGATTAAACGACTGAATGATTGGGCAGCTCTTGTGCGAAAAAATAGGTTGTTCCACAGATTAGGGGCCACCACCGAAAAGGTCCTATCGCCTCTGCCTTTGAGCCTGGAAGTAGTAACATCCAAGAACAATTGGTTCCTAGACCTCAGTGCTTTGGTAGGCGTGTAGAGCTTCTACGCCAAAACACTAAGACTCTTAAAAACAAGTAATAAAATTTTAAACTGGATCCCGAGATGGACTGGAAACCAGTATAGGGAGGCCAATACAGGTGTGGTGTGGTCATGCCATTTCTTTATTGTCAGAAAGCGAGTTGCTCCATTTTGTAGAGCCTGCGGGCTACGAAGTAACGACTTAACAAAGCCAACGTACAAAGAATTAAAACACTCTAATCAAGAGGTATTAAAGGTGAGAATTACTCTCAAAGTCATGTTGAAGGAGATTGGCCTTCACCTCACTGAAGAGATGTAATTGAAAAAAAGCTCATCTTAATTGTTTCCCTGATAAAGACGTTTCACAACCTTCACGGTACCCTTAATGATGAGTTTTGATGCCTCAGTGTTTGATGCCCATACTGTAAAATATGTCCACTGGCATTTATGTAACCATGATAAAAATAAGTACCATCATTTTTAGGAAATCTCTATGAACCGACAGGATATTTGATACCAGTTGTTTTCTGTTCATATAACCTTGGTACAGAGGTTTAGTTGTGCTCCAGGACCCACCATGCATCCGTGTCATCTTTGCTACCTTTGTTGCAACCAAAACGAGCACCACTTTCAGAATAAAGCATGAATTTGGTGCAGAAGTACAAAGTGTTGTGAAATCCTTGCTACATTCATTACGTCCTGTGCTCTCTAGTTAATGGTGGCAGAGAAGAAGGGGACGATTCGCTTTTATGACATGGTCACCCAGCAGGCCATCCTGTCACTGGAGAGCGAACCGCTCATGTCAGCAGACTGGTGCCTTACCAACACGATCAAAGTAGGCGGGGTGTCGGGCAGCGACTGGCTGATCTGGGATATAACTCGATCCAGGTGAGAGGATGTGTGGTGCTGATATTGCTCGAGGTATTGATTTTGGATGTGTCTAAGTCACGTTTTTTGTTGTTTGCAGTTACCCACAAGAAAAAAGACCAGCTCACATCGATAAAGCACGGCTGTTTAGGTGAGGAAAGTTCTTCCATAAGCCTTATTGCTTCGGTTCATACCTGCTCAGGTTTCTCCTTTAAATCTGGTCAGTCTGTGATTCGCTAAAAAATATTTTAATTTTATTGAAATTGAAAGATTTGGAGTTTTCTTTTTGGTCTTTTACAAAGACCTGAATTGGTTGGCATCACAGAAGAAACTTTCATAACTTAACACAAGTCAGTTTCAGGAGGATGATTTTATATTTCAGACAGTAATTCTCCAATTGTGTGAAGGCTTTCAGGACTTTGTTCTTCTCTCCAGGTGGTCTCGAGCCAATGAAAACCTCTTTGCCACAACGGGATGTCCAGGAAAGATCAACACTCAGCTGATCATCCACCATCTCGGCCACCCGCAGGTCTGTGTGTGCGCTTTCCATAGTTGTTATGAGTTTTGTTTTTGTTTTTAATTAAATTTAATGTGATTTCCATCAGCTCACGTCACACACCTCATGTCGTTACAGCCGGTGGCGATCGGGTCGGTGACCGTCGGATCAGGCCTCAGTTGGCACCGGACGCTGCCGCTCTGTGTGGTCGGCGGCGACAGGAAGCTTTGCTTTTGGATGACTGAGATGTAGAAATCTGTTGTGGAAACCTGCGTCCTGTTTCTGTTTGTGCTCAATAAAATATTTTTCCAAGTATTCGTGCAGTTTGTGTGGAATTTGATGGGAATTGGCTGCATGCTCGAGCTTTGTTCTTCTCATTTCTGACCACCCCTTCAGGTCAGCTACAGATAAACAGCAGGATTGTCTGGTTTATGCCGAGAACTTGTTTTTCATTTCTCAGAGGAATGACTTACATCAGTTGTCTGTTATGTCCTGCCAAGAGAGCCGTAGTTCAAAGGAACGTGTCCGAGTGCCAACTCTACACTTCACCAGTTAACGTTGTCCTCGTACAGGTGTTTTCTCTCCCTCTTGGCTTCTGAATTTTCTTACTATCCACGGCGGACCTTGAATCATATCACGAAAAGTGTAAGCACGGGAAAAGCTCAGGGAGGCTCTCAAGTCTGAGGTCATTTCAGGTTATCTTCAGCTTCAAACTGAGCAGTTACGTGAGGATTTAGGAAGAGGAGCAGATGTGCCTCACCTGACCTTGATGAAGACTCGGGATGACTTGGCAGCTGCCCGCAGTAGAACAAAGACTCATTGTACCATCACAGGAATGCCTGCGAGTTTTCAAAGCGGTTGTACGGCCGCTCAACTGCAGCGGGTGCTGGTGTAATTAAACTGATCGTGAATCATTCGGGGTGGCAGGTGATCACTTCAGCTTCCACCTCAATGCACGAGCTTTATTTCAACGTAAACGTCAGCTTAAACACTGTGTTATATTGGACGCCGACGCCGGTGTGACAGAGCAGGAGCGAGCACCACTCTTTCAAACCAGTCCATCAGCCTCCTATATTTCTTGGACAGGAGGCGCTGACCACCATCCACAAAGCATAACATGCTACTGCTCTCCCGGTCCACTTTTTTTGTTTGAACAAGTCCAATGTGGTCGCAGCTCTCTGGGTTTTGCCGTGCTTTAGGTGCAAGCGGTGTTGGAGCAGCTGCGTATACAAGACCGATTCCAAAAAAAAGTGGAGCGGCTGTGTGAAATGCAAATAAAAACAAAATGATTTGAAAATCATTTAAAGCCTGCGTTAAACTGAATATTCTGCAAAGCCAACGTATAAAAAGATCGAAGCCGAGTAGTGTCACCTTCCCACTGTGTTGCATCACGTCTTACTTTAACAAATTCAGCTGCTCAGCAGTTCGGGCCTCCTTTTGTTATATGTTTGTATCATAACGTGCCAAATATCTTTAATGGAGGACAAGTTTGGACTGGAGACAGGCCAGTTTGGCACCCGGACTCTCTCAGTCCAGAGCCGTGCTGTCAGAGTACGTGCACAAAGCGGTTTGGCATCATCTCACAAAGTAAGCAAGCCCTGTGATACCCGCACATATCCTTCATTATCTATATCCTGTTCACTAACGGCCTCTGAAACAGTCTGGGCAGTAGCGTTTCTGGATTTTATTCGTGTTTATATTTGCTGGGTTTGCAGAGTTTGTAGATGCAGGGGAGAACTGTGTGCACCAGTGATGGTTTTCAGGGGTGTTTCTGAAACTGCTGCAAACTTATCAGGTCACATTATTTTGAACTCCAACCCACAAATCAGCTTCTCTGAGACGTTCACTTTCAATACACGATCATGTTTACCTCATTATTAATAAGATGGATATATTTTCAGATCTTTGAAAAATGTATTTGTACTTAAATTTTTTATTCATTTAACTGTTGTTATTCAGGAAAACGCGACTCTTTTGATGTCATGGCCAATATGACCCAGTAATACACACAAATACTGCAAAATATGAAGTAAATAAAGAGACTTCTGCTTCTTTCTTCAGCTTCTCCCTTTTGTGGTCATGGCAGCAACAGATCATCTGCTTCCATCTCACTCTATCCCCTGGATCCTCTGTCACACCAACCCTCTGCGTGTCCTCCTTCACTAAATCTTCTCTGTTGCCTTCCTCCTTTCCTCCTCCCTTGCATCTTCAGCATCCTTTGTCCAGCATATCCACCATCCCTCCTATGCACATATCAGCCTTGCCCCTTTTACTTTGTCTGCAAACGGTTCCCTCTGATCTACTAACTCTGTCCATTCTGATCACTCCCAATGAAGATCTTAACATCTAAAGCTTGGCCTCTTGTCTTTTTATCAGTACCACCGTCTCCAAAAGGCACATCGTAGCAGGTGTCACTACTATCTTGTGAACCTTGTCTTTCTGTCACAAATCACTGAACCCTGCCTGGACTCTTCCCCTCCCCACTCGTACGCTTTCACTTCCATCTTCATCGTCACAAATGCCTCCCTCTCATTTCAGGCACCCGGAGCATGAGAAAAAGTTGTCACAGTCGTCTTGGACCAAACGGGGGGTAGCAATGCTCAGGCGTCTACATTTACAGCCTAAAATAAGGGTCCCAGATGTTTTAAAATTACTTCAAGGCCATTTAGTGAGACAGTGCATACGATTTAGTGGATTTTTTTTTTAAATTAAGTTTGAAGCCTTTCTTTCCAATTCAGTGCTGGCTTCTTTTTGAAAGGAACTGACTTCCTTTACTCATGTCACATATGTAAGTCAGTAACAGACCGAGAGCAGTCCTGTAAAGAAGGATAAACTAGTGGTTTAAGATGCCCTTTCATGTGTGCACATTCCGCCTGCTGCAATCACAAACACGAGTCTCAATCCTGAGCGGGTTTACAAATCCTGTGACTCAAGGTGGCCATCTGATGGCTGCCTGACAGAACAGCAGGGAGGCTTAATCTTGTTCATGAGCTGTGTGGACTTCTCTTTGCTGAAAGCAGTCCTCAGATGTCACTCAGATGACCCCGGCGTTACCTTTTGATGTAACCTGAATGAAGCTTGATCTCTTGCGGTGGCGGTGCTGTGTGGACTAATAACAAACTGTGAAACGATGAAAGCGAGATCAGGCCGTCTTCAAATCTTCACAAACTTCTTTCTAATCTCCTGCCCCCAGATAATTCTTCTGCGGCCCTGCCAACTTTAAGCCGGGGGCTCAACACAAAGAGAGCAAAATAAAAATAATGAGGAGCATGATAGGGCAGGAAACAAAGAGAGAGATTAGAGCTCTTTGAGGCTGGTGTTTGATTTAATCTTGTGGTTGGCCTGGTTTGTTTGCGATGCTTTCCCAGAATGAAGCGATTATGCTGATTTTGATGGAGTAAGGAGAAAGAGTCAGTGAAAAAGGGTCCCATCACTGCTTTAGGGTGGTGTTGGCTGATCATCTGAAGTGTTGATGCAGCCAGTATGCACTTTATGGAAGCTGTGTGTCAACGGTTTATCCTTTTATAAGGTCTATATTGTACCTGCACCCGATTTAAAGTTTTATGAGCACGTTTGAACGAAAAAGCAAACTCAGCTGGGTGCTTTTGCATCTCATCATCTGAAATCAAACAAAAAAAAAAACTGTTGATGAAACATTTCTGGCATGATGGGAGTGGTCTCTTCAAAGCCTGAATAAAGGCAACGGAAACAGAAATGGCACTGGGAGGTTAGATGGTTGACTGTCAAAGGCCCAGGAATACTTAAAACCACCTACCCATCCACTGGCATCGGCTAGACCCTTAGCTTGGTAGCATCATTTGCAGGGAGGAGTTAACTATGTGGGTATGAATGGTTGTCATCTGTCTGTGTTAGCCCTGCTTCACATTGGTGACCTGTCCAGGATGAACCCTGCCTCTCGCTCTATGGCAGCTGGGGTAGCCCACCCATGACCCTAATAAGGATAAGTGGAAGAGAAAGGAAGGATGGATGGATAAACCAAACAGAAAAACTGGGACGCCTCTGGCTGTTCATCATCTAATAATGAGTAAGTAATTTATTAAATCTGTTCTTACTCATTAATTTAATTGTTCTGAAAATCCATATATTTGGATCCAACTGGGCTGTATTTGAAATAATATGACTTTGGCTTTGAGAATCGGTGCCAGCAGCCTCTGGAGCTGCTGTGCCAGGTTGTAAATGTGCTTTTTAATTCTGCTTAGTTAGATATTTTAACACAGGACAAAAAGTTAATACCATGCAGTAGTTGCATATTGCTGCTCTGGAGCTGGAAAGACAAATTCAACTGACTGCCTGAGATCACACTGAACTTTCCTTCTCCATCATAAATTTACCATAAGCTGGAGTCCTGGTCTTCCAGGTAAGTCCAGCCAATCACCGATGAATGTCTTATTTCCTTACTTCCGTTCTGTCTCTTGTTCTCTCTGTTTAACTTCAGCGTCAGTGAAGCTGCTGTAAAAACCACACTTCTCTAAAGTTGACTTTGTTTGAATTCCAGATGTTGCAGATGCTTCCAGGGCTTCACCTAATGATGGCTGGCAGATGTTTGTCTGTGTTTAACATATTAACTAACTGAAGTGAACAAAAAAGGAACCGCTAATCAGCTTCAGAGGTGTGTTGTTTTGCTTTGCCTTCCCTCACCTGACTTCAGCTCCTCACGCACAGGTATAGTATAGTGACTCAGATAAAATGTCTCTTAAAATATTTAACTATTCCTTTTATCTATCTATTTATCTATAAGGCTTTCCCAAGTGATTCTTAAGAGTATTTAATTCATGAAATACTCTTACAACACCTTGTGGCTGGGGCAGTGCTGGGGGCACGTCCAGATGTGGGATTTTGTGAGACACATAGATTATAACTGATCAGTGAATGTCATTTTACTACTTGAGTACACATCATAGACCAAACAAGTTTGTATAGATACGTGTTTTACTAATACTGTCCACTATGACATGAGCTCCTGGATCCATGTTTAGAATCACCAGTTAACCTATCCATGTCTGTATAGAAGAAGAAGAAGAACAGTATCTGAAAGGTATATCCTCAAGAAAAAGGAAAAAAGATCAGAGAGATGTGGGATTTTGTGAGACATATACATTATACATTCATCTGATCCATCTGCTGTTCCCTGATGCCTCATCAGAGTAGGGTGGCTGAAAAGAACGAGGTATACAAACTTACACAAGAACTGGCCTGATGGAGTGATGAAGAGCCTTGGGGAGACTGTTGTTGTGATTTGGCACTGTATAAATAAATTTGAATTAAATTGAATGAATTTAAATGTGAAAATTGTTGGTTCAAATTGTCATCTGTCATCTGTAAAACATGGCGGAGGTGGTTTCCATTTCAGCCAGCGGTGTTGGAGATCTTGTCACGGAAAACTATGAATTTTTTTATTTTTAATCCAACATGCAATACCATCTAGAACGTTTCTGATTGACAGCAATGATCCCAAACACTGCCAATGCAGTAAAAGCATCTCTGGATAGAAAAACACACATCCTCAACATTACTGAAGCAGTGTGGGATCATCTAAAGGCATACAGCATCCAAAGAAGAGCTTTAAATGCCCTTCAAGACACAGGATAACTATTCCTGAAGACTACTTAAAGAAATTCAAAGAAGGTTGCCTTCAGTTCAGGCTGTGTTGAAGAATAAAGGTGGTCATGTGATTGTAAAAAAAGAAAAAACCCCAAAACAAAAGACTATTTTGTGCCTCGTATACTGTACTACTTGCATGTTAGCACAGATTTCAATAAATCCCTGCAGCTATTTCCCAATTTTCCTGGCAAAATAAAGGGTGGTTCATGACCTGTGTACCTTTTTAGGGAGAAAAAAGGTACACATATTTACCTTGAGGTCCAGTGAGGTGCATTAGTGCAAAACGGACCCATGAGGACTGGGATGGACTTTTAATGTGCCTCACAGACTATCTTACTGAGGACGCAGTGAACCTCCTGACCCTGATTTCAGAAGCAACCGAGCCAGCGTCGGGATGAGATGGCCCTGACATCAATAAAGGAAACACTCATGGTTAGATGATACAGGGATGACACAGCATTTGGGATTTGTGGCGAGTAAGCGCAAGAATCTCATTGGATCCCTTCTGCTGGTCGCCGGGTTACAAGAAATTATAAAGTGTGAAACATTTGGTTGGAGAGTGCTAGTGTGTGCGTTGCTGCACACTTTCAAAAGCAGCAGATTACTCTTCCCCCCCTCCCTAGCCCTCTCTTTTTGCACACAATTTTTTCTCCTCTGCACACACAAGCTTTTCCCAGGGAGGCTTGATTTACTGCACAGTGGAATTATGGGAAGGGAAAGCTTCCCAACACAAGGTGGCTGGCGCAAGGCTTTTGCCAGCCACCGTCTTGATGCTGGTGATGCTTTATGAATCCTGCAGATGGAGATGATTTGTCTTCTCAAGGGGAAGCTTTGACGTGCACGGCTTTGATATGCATTGTCGCCGGTGTGGAGATCAAAACGCTGGACGTCTATCAAAAACCCCGAAGGCCAAATTCTCCAAAGAGAAATAAAGAGAGAAGAGCGTCTGTCAGCAGCGCAGCCCTGCGGACCGTGCTGTGGTCGGCTGTGAGGTCCCGGCGACCTGGCCCTGCTGACGTGTTGGGCCTCAGTGCTGGCTCTGGCCTTGACCAGAAGAGGGAACACGATACTTAAATCATTCATAATTAGCTCCTTCCCTTTGCTTAATAACACGTGAAGATAAATGACTTCCAAGAATTTTCCAAATGGAAATAGTCGGTTTGGAATTAAAAGCCAGAAAATGGTCTGGGAGCCCTGTATTGTAGTGGTTCAGCCTTTGCCTTTGATTAGTCCTGCTGACAAACATTGAACCACCTCTGTGGCGCATTTTTTTCAGATTGAAATGTAAAACAACAAAGAGTTTTTCATGAAAATAAACATTTATTGTCTTTTTACATGGTCTACTTTATACACACAGTTAAATGGCCCAGTGGAGCCTTACAAATCTCACTACATAAGGAGGAGAAATCTTATAAAAATGTCTCCCCCGGTCTTAAGACGAGCTGAGCTTCTCCAGGGCGCTGTGCAGGGTCTTGAGGTCCTCCCTCATCTGGCTCAGGGCGTTTTGGATTTTACTGGGTTGATCCAGGACCTCCACGCTGCAGGTGAAGGGGTCATAGCGGACTGTGAAGGGGCGCTTGATGTTTGCAGAGTATTTCCTGTGCACATAAAACAAATTGAAGAGAAATATTAGAAAGAGAACAACGTTTAACTGACCAGACATGTCTGGAAATCACTTTGGAGATTTTCTACTGGGTATAATAAACAGCGATTCTACTGAGATCAACTGTAGTACTGAAGACTGTCTGATTGGTTTTTCACTCAATGTCATGCCCACTGGTAGAATTGTCTGCCATACTAGATGTGATACAACCACAGGTTGCTATGGAAACGTATACTGTAGTGTTGTTAGCAGTGGTAATGGCTGGCACTCACTGGATGAACTTGGTGCTGCACCAAAAACCTCCTAGTAATTGCTTTGATTGCTAGCAGGTTGCCATGGTTGCCTGTAGTTTTTCATCTTTATCTATTTGCATTTCCTGCATATTTACATAACCAATAAAACTGCTTGTGCTCTGCATTTTTGACCGCAGTGTTTACTTAAATCTCAGTATAGTGGCTGGCCTTTTTGTGGGCCACACTCCCAACTGGTGGTTGTCAGAGGGTCAGTAACTGGTCTGTGGCCCTGTGTGACTGGCATGATGGTGGTTGCCAGATGGTTGCAGATCAGTTTCTATGTCTGTGTGACACATTGGCTTGGTTTTTTTTAGAGCCGGAAGGGAGCATATTTGGACAAGAGTGAGCTAAACTGTACAGGTGCCACTCACAGGCACAAATATCTGCTAATCAGTGCAAGTGACAAACAAATGAAATACTGGAATTTCACTCAAACTGAAGCACAAACATATGGATGGTCTATACCTCACAGCAGGACATATTATTAGTCAGATATTTCCCCTAAAAACGCTCCCTAGAGAAGCAGAGACACAGTAGAGAGGTCCACTTTGTGAGTTCAACTAGTGGAGGCAGATAGGCGGCAGCTCTAACTCCAACTTCTCATTCAAATGTTGTTAGTTCTAGTTGAGACTTCATAACCTGCATTAATGAAGGGTGATGTCACAGTAGCTATGTCCATCTTTTCTATGTCCATCACAAGTGCCAAAAAGAAGACAACAATATATAATATATATAGGATATATAATACACTATTAAAAAGTAGGGACCTCCATGAACATTTGATGAGGGTTTCTATGTGCTTATATATATTTTTCTTGTACCTCAGTTTCATCTTTGCATCCTCGAAGCTCTCAGACACAAAGTAAACCGGCTGGTAGGTTTGGTCCTGGTACGGCTGGACCGCAGTCTCCTCCGGGGCAAACGGCTTGTACTCGGGCTCGTTGGACAGGGCGTACTGGAGACACAGGTCACCAGCAGTGTCAGACAGCACAGCAGGTAAATGCAGAAACAGAGGACATCTGTGTGTGAGGAAACTCACAACAAGCTCTCCGTAGGAGGACAGAAGTCCAGCGCCGTAAGCCTTTACTGCCCCGTTCTGCTTGCAGAGGCCAAACTCCACAGTGAACCAGTATAACTGCAGTGCAAAAAAAAAAAAAAGAGGGTTGATGAAAGGTGTTTACCACTAGATGGCACTGAAGGCCATTAAACTGCAAAGAGTGAAGCTGTAGGTCTGCATGAATGTGTTAAAAATCACTCATTGCATTTACATGTTCTATTTTTGAGGCTGAGAATCGTACCGTTGACAGTTTCTCAATGTCCTCATCAGAAACCCCGAGTGAGGCAAGTCCAATCTCCTGAAAACATCCAAGTTTATTAATTCATACTTCATTTAAGGTCACACAAAGAATAAAAACAAGCTCACAGTTCAGTCACCTGTGAAAACTGGGCAAACTCCTTATCTGCCAGCATGGGGATATGGCCGAGCAGCTCGTGGCAGCAGTCTCTGTGGGAGCGGTGTGATCTTTATTATCAAAGTAAAATCAGCCAAGAGCATAAAGAAACAGTTCAGGTCTTACTAAAAACTCACGGCTCAGGGGAGTGCATGGGCGCAGAGGAGTGTCTGATGTACTGCGTGCACTGAAACACCCTGAAGGCCAAACTGGCGAGGAAGTCTCGGGCTGACAGCAGGCCGGCTACTGGGCGCAGCTGGAAACCAGTTCTCTCTGAATTTAACCAGAAAAAAAGAACAGAAAATAAACTGTCCGTTTTGGTATCTTCTCTTTCTGCGTCTTTACTTCATTTCAGTCCTTGTTGTCACAACAAGGAGCTTTAATTAACACAAAAACAGCATTAAGGCACAGCACTGTCGTCCCAGACTCCCCACTTGTAATGCATCAAAAGATGCATCAGTACCTGTGACACAAAAAAACATGCGAAGAATCACGTTTCATCTGCTTATCTGTCTAAATGAAACCTAACTAATGAGAGAAAATAGCCAAGAAAATAAAAAGCTGTTTGAAGAAGTGAAGAACTTTTATAATGCATTTTAAAAGAGTGATATCTTAAACACTACTTCTCTTCTTTATACGTGTAATTTCGTCTTTTAGAGACTTTTAAAACTCGTCTGAGTTAAATTCTGTTCAGATTTTAATTTTTAAGTGTGCCACCTTTCAAGAAGGCCGACACCTCTCGTAGCTGAGGGATACGGTCCTCTCCGTAGCCGCACTCTTTCTCCAGCTGCTGCAGGCCGTCTAGGAACTGTTTGCAGGCCAAACTCGGGTAAATGCTCCTCAGCTGCTGGTAGACCTGCCTCCTTTAAACACAACCATACCAGAGCATTACTGTGATGTAATCGCCCCCTCCACAGTGCATCTACAGCCATGACTGTGCAGGCTGGGCTGCCTCACCATGTAGATATCTCCTCTGCTGTGTACTCCACCACAGGTAGCGTGTCCCCCCTGCAGGATATTCATAAACATCAGTCCCCACATGTTCAATAATATGTTCAATAAACTATTTTTAAACTGGATCTGACTGCATTCACGTCACCAGTTAACCCAGAAAGATATAAAGGTAAGATATATATAAAAATAAGGAAACTATGGCATTAAAATTTCAAATGAAATATCCTGAAGTCAAAGCAATAATCTGCACAGTATAGATAAGACATTACAAGTGGAGACAGTCCAGGTGCTCAGTAGGGGGCGGCATAGAGTTAAAAACATCCAGCTTTTATTCACAGCTTCACCTGCGGGTTGCAGCATCTGATGTGGTGTTTTTCTGATCACTTCTTTCTTTGTGCTGCAACAGCTAACAATTCCACCAGCCTATGCATCATTTCAGCTGCACAATTCAAACTTTTCACCTCTTTTAGATTAAACTTTTTAACCCGGTAATACCAAACGTGACTTTTTCAGACGTCATCAGCGTAGAGGGACTCACTGTTTGTATCTGAAGGCCAGCTCAGAGATGACGGCCCGTCTCTTTCTGTATTCAGGGTCATTGTATCCCTGCAATAAATGAATAATGATCATTACGCTCTATTTTGCCATTATTTTTGTCTTTCATTTAGGAGCAGATGCGTAATCACTCACTGGATGGTCGTGGTCCATGTCAGGATCAAATTTGGTGATCAACATGTTGCATCTGTCGAGGTCTTTTATCTGTCGGGGAAACCAGGGCACTGTGGTCGAGCGCAAACAAACTAATTAGTGCTCCTGCCATCCGTCTGATTGGCTGATATCGCATGCAGTGGTTAATGGGTCCTGTGCTAACAAGATAAAAGCATTGGGGTGAATCAATGATCAGACACTTGCCCTTTTCTTCTGGCATGCAGCGAACGTCGTCAGCCACTCTCTTCAGTGAGTTGACGAACACGTCCAGGTCTGAGCTGTGAACTTCACACTTCATGAAGAACTCCAGGTCCGTCGTGCTGTTCTTACACTTCCTCCCCATTCGGCTCTCGATGTGGAGAAGCTTGGCTTCAAATGTCTGCAAGAGATTTTAAAAAGTACAAAGATGTAATTTTCCTGCTTTTCCTTCAGGTTTTTCTTTCAGTTCTGCTGGTCTTTAGCTTTACCCCATAAACATAACAAAATCTTTTTATTTGTCACTCATTCCATGAGCTTCACAGGCTGCTCAAGACAAATCACCCACACTAAATAAATCTTACCAAACACAAATTCGTTGTTTTGTTTGTTTGTTTTCCATTACCCAGGAGAAAAAACAAGATTCTTGACATTAAAAATATAATTTAAGAGTGTCTTGGTTAAAAAAAAGACAGCAGTACAATTTAACTGCATAAATGAAATTAATTAGTAATTAGTTTTGGTGATATCTCTAATAAAAATCGGACTTTTTCCTACAGCAGCAATAATGCCTGATAATTGACATCCTTTTATCCAGAAGTTTCAGTAACACCAGCTTTAAACTTTGCAGTAATTCTGGATTTTCTGAAAGTTTTATTGTAAGGGATTCTGCACACCATGAAATGTGGAAAAATGTGCTTTGCTTCTGGCTCTCTGTAGTTTTGTTTTTGTTTTTGTTTTTTTAATTTATAAGGTTATCAAAGGACAAGTGTCAACAAAGCAAAAAAATGTTCTGTAAATGTGCAAATTAATGCATATTTATAAATTTAATGCATTATTACACGTCACAAACTCGTCAGTCCTTAAAAGAAATGAGGAAATTTAATGGTGATATCTGGCTTCATTTACTGAAAAATGCCTCTGTCGCACGATTCAAGAGTGTTTGAGACATGCTTGACATTGAAATTTATGCTTTTTTCAAGTTTACATTTAATTTATAAAATCGTCACACGAGTCTATGCATTTAATGAAGTGCTTCCACACCTCAGTCTCAGGCTCACCTCAAATATTTTCCCTGTTTTGAAGAAGCCCGCGTTTTTCTCGCTGCTGAGGGCGAACAGGACGTTCAGGGTCACCCTGCCGTCCTTCTCCTCAAACACGAAGCCGTCTCCGTACCTGGAGGGCCCCGGGGAGCCTGCCGGGCCGCCGGCACTTCCGCGCTCCCGGCGCGCGTCCTCGATCAGGCTCTGCTTCCTCCCGCTGAAGGTCTGCACCACACCGTCCGTCTTCATCTCTGTTGGAGCTGAGAGCTCGGACAGGTTTAAATAGCCTCCTCTCATCTAGAGGCTGTATGGAGATGAGCTGCTTGGAGGCCTGCTTTGCGTCACGGCGTTTTTTCTATTTATGGGGCACAAATATCAGGAGGAGACGCTTCAGGTGCACTCAGACAAAACCATTAAAGGTTACGTAAACGTTACACAGTCTTGGATATAAATAGAAAATTATGCTATGAAGATTGTTATGTTCGCTTCTTATTCACCCTGTGTTTTGGTGCAGCTACAGGAACAGATTCAAGATTACATCTAGACTGCAGGTAAAGAAGACATCAGTGAGGTGAACATAACCTCACCTCATTGAGGAAAAGAGCACACTAATCAGCCTTAATAATGCTCCAGCTGACCTAAAAGGTGGATTTATAAGTAAATTACCCTTTTTTATTCACTAAACTGGTGGTGTACAACAGAGGGGGATGTTTGTGTTGGTACCAGCTGTTCCCCTCCAAAAAAATAATATCCTGCAGCACCCAGAATGCTTTGCAGTCTGTTAATATGGACAGACCAAAGACTGTATATAAAAGATGGAGAAGTGATAGCCAGAAGCGACCATATTTGGAAGAAAGGTGAAGCGCTAAGAGCTAAACCGATGAACTTTACAGATGCGACTCACGGGCACAGATAGCTGCTAATTAGTGTTAAACAGAATTTTTTAAATGGTTTGGGGAGCACAGCACGTCTCAACATTTAAGGCCCCCATTATACTTTGAGCCTGCTCTGGCGCTAAGTGACAATATTAGCAAAACTGGAGCATGAAGACTTAATTTTTAGAATGATGATACCATTAATAACACTTTAAAAGGCACAATGAGTGACCCCAGCTAGAAATGAATGAATAATAAAAAATGCACCCCATCAAGACTTCTGAATACAGAAAATAAAACTATCCAAAGAGGACAAAATTACTCTTTGCTGGAGCTGGAGTCTATGAAGCCAACCCCAAGTGGGCATTCATTTTTTCCCCTCACTAGAGGAATATTAGCTGACAGTAGACACAGGAAGTACAGTCAGAGTACAGAGATATTTATTAAAAACTGTCATGCATATACAAAACATTTAATTAATCCAGATTAAATGAAATATAATAACAGAAAGCCTCCTGTCATTTTGAAAAGCATAATAACCTGATTATTGCAGTTAGCTAACAAAGAAATGTTTATTATACAATGCTCTTATTTTGAAAAGCTATTCTTCACGTAACATTAATGAGGTTATAAACTTACTATTCTCCATAAGTAACGGGCCCATGTTTCCTATTACCTGAATTCTAAGAATATGGTCACTATCTGACTTGCGTATGTGTTTTAATACAAAGAAGTTGAATCTCTAAGCATGACGTTTAAAGAAGCCAAGAAGAAATTGTCAGGAGGGTTCTCCAAGTCTGATCTCCTGTCCTGTTACTCCAGCTTCCGCAGGGCTTCGCACAATTTCCCCATCTCACCTGAAACAGAAGAAAATAGAAGAGTCAGAGGAGCAACTACTGCTGTATGTTAATGCTCATCGCATGCTTTCATATTTATGGACTTTATTTATTTATGGCTTTTAATAACATTCACAATATGGTGGAGTATTTTTTTAATTGCACACATGAGCTGTTTAAAGAGTCATCCCACCATACTGTGTGGCACGTTGCCTACTTTTACACACTGAAGCTATAACACTAACTTAGTGTGTAAAAACACCACAGAGCTGGTGATTTTACTTCCTGAGGACCCTCAAAAAGAACATCTCTCAAAGACCATTAATGTCCTTCTACCACAGCTCCACAGAGGTCATATTAACATATTGTTTCTATGTTTCTGCTGCAACATCTACACAGTCCTATAATTCACTGGATGCCCCCTCCTATGTCTGAAAGATCAGGCAGTTCCTGCTGCCTCAAAGAGGTTAATAATATCACAATGGATCGATCACCATGGTCAGCTAGTGTTTGGCTGTTACCGTCAGGCTGACAGTACAGAACAAATAAAATGAAGACAAACTGACTGAAAAACAGTTTCTATCCCAGAGCTGTACAAGCAATAAATGCTGTAATATCGGAGAAAGATTACTTTTTATCTTTTACTTATTGTTATGTCTAATATATTTTCATATACTTTATTGTTTTTATATAGTGTTTTTATATAGTGTTCAAATTGCACCTAATTACCACTGTACACGTGAAAATAAATACATCTTTATATAAACATCTAAACATCTAACTATAAACATTCTATTTTATTCTATTGTAGGACGGAGGAGACGAGGAGGTAAAAACTGGAGGTGAGAAAAGCCTGTGTCATTTGGGTTGTTTCTCTTGTATTTTGACGGTTTACTCCCAGGTCTTGTTTTGGTTCCACTTCCTGCCCATTTCATTGTGTTGATTATTTTCACCTGTGTCTCACACTGCATGCATTTCCATGATTAGTCCTTTGAGTGTATACATCCAGGTCTGTGGGCCTTTGGCTGATTGTATGGTTGTGTTCAGGTCTAGACAAACACGTACAAACTTTTGGAGTTTGCACGTGCTTTTTGGAGTTTGGGGTCACTGTACATAACAAATCCACACTGTGCTTGGTGTTTAAATTTAAGGCACTCAAAGTCAAACATTCATTCACGTTCAGACATCTATTATTTGATATTTCCAGACGACTAGTCATAAGTAATTTGACCAAAGCTGCTTACTGTTGATGCTGTCAGCCAGGTTCCTGAGCTGCTGGGTGTTGTCCAGCACTTCGATGCTCTGGGTGTAGGGGTTGTAGCGCACTGAGAAAGGCTTGGGGATCGTGCCTGCAAATTTCCTGCAGAGAGAGATGTGAATGATTAAAGACTCGCATGCATTGTAAATTTTAGAACAACTAAAAAACTAAAAATTGTCCTACCTGACTTTCTCTTTGGCATCTTCAAAGCTCTCTGCCACAAAGTAAACCGGCTGGTACTCTGTGATAGGGTACTTCTGGACACTCGTCTTCTCGGGGTCGAAAGGCATAAGTTTGGGCTTTTCTGTTAGAGAGTACTGAAAGAAAAATTTTTTTTTCTTTTCACTGCTTTATTTTCTCAATGAGCATCTCTATTCCTGTCTGTAAACAGGAAGTGCGGCACGATTTAAGACTCTGCTGACTCTGCTGACTTGAGTGGACATCCTCTGCTGACAGCAGCTAATGACCTCGAAGTCTTTGCCCCCACCTGAGTGCTTACCCACTGAACCACTTTACCACCGCCCTGCTGAGCAACTCCCCCAGTGACACATTAAACCTGAACCCGAGTGGACCACTAACCCACTGCCTGCTGTTGTGCAATAAGGCAAATGTGTTATAAAAATAATGTACAGAAAGCAAAATGTACTCGGCTTCCTCTTACCCCCAGCTCTCCAAATGAAGACAGCAAGCCGGCTCCGTAAGCTTTGATCTCAGAGCCCTGCTTACAGAGGCCAAACTCCACGGTGAACCAGTACACCTGAGGGACACACACCTGGGTCATGAAATGTGACTTGCAGTAAAAAAAAAAAGGAAAGGAAGCTTTGGGTTTCAGAGGAAATCTGAGGAAAAAATATCTTATTTTAAACAAGATGATGACATAAAAATTGCATTTTTATACTATGTAAAGTAAGTTTTTATTTATTTTTTATTATTCTCTTAATATTTCTCCACTCTTTTTTATTCCTTTTTATATTTACTTATGTAAGACAAAAATATAAATTGTCATTAAGATTCTTGAGGTTTGCTTCTGATATACACAATCTCAAATAAACTCTAGGATTTAGATCACATTTTATCTCTTGTTTTACTCAGAGTATTTAAAAATAGGAATATTAAATACAGATATAATATTAATAATGAACTTTTTAAAAAAATTATTCATGATTTTGGAGGTACTGAAAGAGTTGCAATAAATGTGTTTAGCAGCATATATGTCTTGATATTTCTAGACATATATATACATATATGTACTACTTTATCAACAGAAAGCCTTAATACTAATTCAAGCTCGTCTTGACCAATTTCTGCATTAAGATACAATAACTGTTTTTTCCAGTTAACAAGGTAAACACGTGTCATGGACAAAATGCACTTCTTATATTTACAATCCAAAGGCTCTATAAAGCAAAGAGGACTGTAATTAATGTTATTAATTAAACCTGTGTTTATCCTGCAGCGACATGTCAGAATAGCCTGTTAGATTAAGAAACAGGTTATTTAATGTGGTCTAGATTGATCCAATCTTTTGTAATTAGAGGCTCTTATCTATTACCGCTGTTTGCCTTGTACACAGTACTCACGGTAGCAAGTTTCTCAATGTACTCATCCGGCGCTCCGAGAGATGCAAGGCCAATTTCCTGTGTGGGATCAAAGCACATGGGTTAAGAGGAGCTGCTCACGCTGTCAGACAAGGCCAGGATAAACTGGTGAAACTGAGATTTGTCATCTTTTTGCCTCAGCACAGGAATTCATATCACTCTTGGTCTAATCTGAATAATAGAAAAGGGAAAAAGTAAAGTGTTAATTCTCCTCTTTAATATTACCTGTGAGAACTGCGCAAAGCTTGGATCAGCAAACAGAGGAACGTGTCCCAGGAGCTCGTGGCAGATATCCCTGGATTAGAAACACAATTTGCTCTTTAATTTAGAAATCTTTACTTCCTTGTAATAAGGAAGATTTTACTTCACCTGTAATTTTTTATTAGCTTTATACACTGAGACACTCACGGCTCAGGTGTGTACGTGGGCTTGGAGCCGTGGCGAATGTACTGCGTGGAATGGAAGACGCGGAACGCGAGTCCAGCCAGGAAGTCACGGGACGAGAGCAGGCCGGCTACGGGGCGAAGCCGGAAACCTGTGCATGCTGCAGGAGAGTGGTGGGGAGATGAAAGAGATGAGACAGTGAGCGTTTTGTTGCTTGAGTTGAATAAGAGCATGCATTGATAGGAAGGGAGGAAGAGGAAGTGGGGGTCTGTATCTGTACAGCCAAATGAACTGAATGATGACTCATGCATTGGGTTTCATGGACTGTGTGATGTTGCGTGACTCATAACAGAAAGAGATTGTCTATTTCTATCAATCATTAGAAGAGAATTTACATATTATAGCAGCTTTGTTGCCATCTATAGGCAGTAATTAGCAGCTTTTTAATAGTGTGCATTTATAAATTATATTATTAAACATAGTCTTTCAAATGTCTGCATTTTAACCTCGGAGTGATAAAAAACAAGTGTTTTTTTTAGGTGTGGAGTTACACTGCAGGAAGCGGGAGACGTCCTCGAGCTGTGGGATGTTGTCTGGCCTGTAGCCGCAGTATTTCTCCAACAGGGGGAAGACGCGGTTGTGTTCACGGCAGGCGTGAGTCGGGTACAGAGTCTTCAGCTCCCTGAACACCGTGCCCCAGGTGGCCTTCTCCTCCTCTGTGTACTCCACCCTGGGAATGGACTGTCCACTGGAACAGCAGTCACAACAGAAGTTATGTTTCCCTGATAAACACTAACATCACCACACTGTGTTTACCTTAAATTTTTCTAGATTTAAATCGAATCAGTTTTTCTGTGGATGTTTCCCCAAGTCTCCCTGAACCCAACAAACCTTTGAGCCACAGCTCATTATTCCTGTTTTCTAACCTGAAAAATATCAGTTTTATTTTACTTGCTGCTCCTGTAAGTCTCACTCAGCAACTAACGACCCAGCTAAAACCATGTTTTAGACATTTTATCGGTTATATGTGAACATTACTAAAAAATAAATTGATGGCTTTTGAGCGTCTACATCAACGGCAATAAAAATTTCACCATGGCTGTAGTTTTATATGTAGAGTTTTTCTAATGTCTGATGTGGAGGATTTTTAGTGGTAGCATCAAAAAATAAATGTGGTAATTTTTTCTACATAAAAAATAATTTAAAATATGATATAGTGGTAATATATCATATATAAATATCATATATTATA